GGTCCATTCCCCGAATGACTGCAACAATTAGGGCTGAGCCAGGCCAAAGCCAGGACCCTCTTCCGGGTTCTCCCATGTGGCTGCAGGAGCCCAAGCACCTGGGCCGTCCTCCGCTGCTTTCCCAGGCACATTTAGCAGGGAGCTGAATCACAGGTGGAGCAGCTGGGACCTGAACCATATGGGATGCCAGCACAGCAGGCCTGGACTTTAACTCACTACAGCGCAGCACTGACCCCTTTAATATTTCTTAAAGAAAAAGTTCCTGATGTATCCTACTTTGAGAAAAGGAAGAAACTGGTTTGACTGTTATCTGGGTAGTTACATTTTCAGGAATAAGTGTGCAGGACTCAAGTTGCTCTGTTCTCTCGGTCACACCTGAAGAGATCCTGTCAAACTTCATTATTGCCACTCATTACAAATCAGTACTTTTCACTTAACAGCATGATTAAAGGTTGCAAAGCATGTCACCACAACTTTTTATTTGAGAGGCACTGAGAGGGAGTGGGAGAGAGAGAAGAGATTTGCTGGCTCACTCCTCAAATGCCTGTAACACCTGATGCTGAGCTGAGCTGAGTTGAAGCTAGGAGCCAGGAACACAGTCCAGGGCTCCCCCTTTCGGATGGCACAGAACCCATTTCTGAGACATCTCTTGTCTCCCCGCTCTGCATTAGCGAGAAGGTGGAGTCAGGAACTGGCGTCTGATATGGAACCCAGGCACTGTGATATAGGATTCAGGTTGCTTTCTTTTTAGGATTTATTTATTTTTATTTGAGAGGCAGAGTTACAGATGGAGAGAGGGAGAATGGGAGAGAGAGAGAGAGGGATGTTTTCCATCTGCTGGTTTACTCCCCAATTGGCCACAGTGGCCACAATGCGCCAGTCTGAAGCCAGAAGCCTCTTCTGAGTCTCCCATGTGGGTGCAGGGGCCCAAGGACTTGAGCCATTTTCTACTGCTTTCCCAGGCCATAGCAGAGAGCTGGATTGGAAGTGGAGCAGCCGGGACTTGAACCAGTTTCCATATGGAATACTGGCACCACAGGTGGACACTTAACCTACTATGCTACAACACCATTCCCTAGGATTCAGATTTCTTAACTGCTAGGACAAATGCCTGTTCCAAAGGGGGTAATTTAAGATTTTCATTCTGGTTAAAAGTGAGGATGTACTGTTATGACCATCATACTTGGGAAGATTGGATTAGACTGATTGACTTTTCCTAGTCACCATGGGTAAACGACTGCTAGAAATCAAAGGAGATTTTGGACTTTAAGCATCAATCCCTTTGTATTAAATCAGAATTTCTTCTTTTTCTTTTCTTTTTTTTTAAAGATTTATTTTATTTGAGAGTTAGCATTATAGACAGTGAGAGGGGGAGAGAGAGAGGTCTTCCATCTGCTGGTTCACTCCCCAGATGGCTGCAGTGGCTGGAGCTGAGCTGATCTGAAGCCAGGAGCCAGGCAGAGGCTTAACCTATTGTGCCACAATGCCGACCCCATGATTTTCGATTTTAATGGGTACAAGAATTGTCTGGGAATGTAATAGAGCTCTAGGGTCTAGGAAGGCCTCTAGATAATTCTGGTAGAGTTGTCCAAAAGCATCAGAGAACCACTGGCTTTGGACTAAGTGTCATTTTTAAGATAGTGCTGATGATTTTTTTTTTTTTTTTTTTTTTTTTTTTTTACAGGCAGAGTAGACAGTGAGAGAGACAGAGAGAAAGGTCTTCCTTTTTGCTGTTGTCACCCTCCAGTGGCCGGCGCGCTGCGGCCAGCGCATTGCGCTGATCTGAAGCCAGGAGCCAGGAGCTTTTCCTGGTCTCCCATGCGGGTGCAGGGCCCAAGGACTTCGGCCATCCTCCACTGCACTCCTGGGCCACAGCAGAGAGATGGCCTGGAAGAGGGGCAACCGGGACAGAATCCGGTGCCCCGACCGGGACTAGAACCTGGTGTGCTGGCACCACAAGGCGGAGGATTAGCCTAGTGAGCCGCGGCACCGGCCAGTGCTGATGATTTTATCTACAGTACCTCTGCGGTTCTTGGGATGGAACTGAGTAGGTGTTCAGAATAGTGCATTCACATGTGATGTGTAGACTAAGAAGCAAGAGAATATGCTTTCTGTTCAACAAAAATCTACTGAATTCTGAGTAGACATTTGGTGTAGTGGTTAAGGTGCTACTTGGGATGCCCCATATTGGAGTCCTGCAGGTTAAGTCCTGGCTCTGCTTTTGATTCTAGCCTCTTGCTAATGATACCCTGGGTGGCAGGAGCAAGGGCTCAAATAGTTGGCTCCTTGCCACCCACAAGAGAGACCCTGGCTCCTGGCTTTGGCCTGTCTCAGCACCAGCTGTTGTGGACATTTGGGGAATGAGCCAGCAGATAGAAGGCTGTCCCTGTCTTTATTTATTTATTTTTTTTGTCTCTGCCTCTCAAAAATTTTCTTTTTACTTAATTACTGTAATATTCTAGGAGTTTGTGGATACAAGGGGAGATAGACACATAACATCACTCTAGTTGATGTTATTTAATGAACTCATTTCAGAGGTATAGGTCTTCCTTGCTTAAGAAATTGTATGATTAAAGGAGGTCAATGGCCTCAGAGCAGCACGCCCAAGTTTATTGTAACTACGCGATACACACCTCAGCCAACACTCTGCATCAGTGAGAAAGACACACTGTGGCGGTAGGAGACACACGGAGAGTGTGAAAGACTGCTGTCAGGAATGGATGGAAGAACAGGCTCGGAGCCCGATAGACAATACAGGGGCTGCATTTCAACAAGGAAAGATACCTCCTGCTCCATTCTCTGCTCCTCCTCCTGCAGGGGTGATGATCCCACCTTCCCCCCAGTCTCCCGGGTCCCCCTTGCCCTGGTGTGATCCAGTACCCCATATGGGAGGCCCTCCCATGATGCCAATGATGGACCCTCCTCCCCCTGGGACAATGCCCTTGCGACCTGTCCCTGGAATGAGTCCTCCCATGGGAGGCCATTTGGCAGTGGTGCCAGGACCCCCAGTGATGAGACCTTCTGCCCGTCCCATGAGAGGAGAGGCCTCTTCATAGCAGTGCCGGATCACTTGTTCTGCTTCACCAAGAGATCATGGTGCTTGAGTCTGGGTGTTTTGTTAGCAGCATGACAAAGAAGACTTGCTCTCCCTTCCTATCAAATAAAGAACAGTTTCGGAGGGAAGAAGTGGGATTTTAAAACTTGCAACTTTCATTTGTATTGTGAAATGTGAAAATAAAATGGCCAACTCTTAGATAAAATGAAGACTGAGAGGATGTTTGTGTGATCATTCCTCCTGCAAGTTAAAAATTAATTTTTGAGTGAAGATTACAGATCAAAGAAGTGGCCCGAGTATTATTTCTCTGTTTTGTGTAGCTCTGAAGCCAGTTATCCAGCCGTTAGGTGTACTTGTGATTATTTAAGTGAATTAAAATTAAATTACAGGGGCTGGCACTGTGGTATAGTGGGTAAAGCCACCGCCTGCAGTGCTGGAATCCCATATGGGTGCCAGTTTGTAGTCCCAGCTGCTCCACTTCCGATCAGCTCTCTGCTATGGCCTGGGAAAGCAGTAGAAGATGGCCCGAGTCCTTGGGCCCCTGAACTCACATGGGAGACCTGGAAGAAGCTCCTGGCTCCTGGCTTTGGATCGGCACAGCTCCGGCCGTCGCAGCCAATTGGGAAGTGAACCCGTGGATGGAAGACCTCTCTCTCTCTCTGCCTCTCCTTCTCCCTATGTAAATCTGGCTTTCAAATAGATAAATAAATCTTTAAAAAATTAAATCATATTAGAAATGCAGTCCCTCAGTGGCAGTGGCCACAATTCAGGTGTGGCAGTGGCTGCTGGATTTGACAGTGCCGACAGAGAATTTCTGTCAGCTGTCCCACTCTTGCTCTAGACTCTACAACTACACAGAGCTGATTTTCCAGTTACCTGGATCTGTCGTTGATTTTGAGATAAGAATTAGCAGTGTCCTGAGACTGTCATTTCACCTCTTAAGTGCATCAACACTGTTTCAGGTTACCAGGCCCAGAGCTAATATAGGTTTACTTTAACACTTTCATTACACAGCAGGTGAGATCTAAGGGATAATATCTGGGCACTGTTAAAAAACATGTAACACACTTAAAGTTACTGTACTAACTTTCTCCTGTGTGTGTGTATGTGTGTGTGTGTGTGTGTGTGTGAGAGAGAGAGAGAGAAACAGAATTCCCATTCTGTAATTAATTCGGAATTCATTATGCATATTCAAGTATAATTTGGTGCATTCTATAACTGGTTTAAATTTGTATGTAGTAAACTTTTGGGCAAAGAAGTATTGTGATTGTATTTGTATTACTAGAGTTTATGATAGTTAAATTAAATAATTTTTAAAAGATTTATTTATTAATCTGAAAGGCAGCATTACAGAAGGAGAGAGAGCGCGATCTACCACCTGCTGGTTCACTCCCCAGATGGCCACAGGGGACTGGAAGGAGAGCAGCGGCGGCTTCAACTGCTGCTCGTGTAGGATGCCGGTGTTGCAGGCAGAGGGTTAACCTGCTGCCCACAGCACCAGCCCCTAAATGAAACAATATTTAGAAGCTCAATTTTGAGAAGGTGAAAAGTTGGATTAACACTATTTAGGCAGAATTCTATTGAGGAAGAACCTGAGGAATGCTTATTTAAAATATTAATTGTGATACGTTTGGTGATTTGGTGATTGAAAAACTAAACATAAATGTAGCTCCTTGTTAATGTTGGTGTGAAAACCTGTATGTACAATTGTGTGGGTTCTGATGTCTGGACAGTGAATGCATTTCTTTGTGCAGAGTTCAAGAGGCGGTGTGCAAGTGTGATGACCAGATGGGTCTTGCCTTTTTGACTTTTGTCCTTTCTTCTCTGCTGATTGTCCCTTTCTGAGACAGAGGGGGGGGGACTGTGGTCACTCGGTCTAGTGTAACTGAAGGCCCCAAATCCCTCTGTACTTGCTGCCTCCTTCAGTGACCTTCTGTCTTTCCAGGTCACTTACTTCAGCCTCTGGTACTACAACAAGCAGAATCAGCGCCGGTGGGTGGATTTGGAGAAACCCCTGAAGAAGCAGCTGGACAAATACGCACTGGAACCTACCGTGTACTTCGGAGTGGTGTTTTATGTGCCTTCTGTCTCCCAGCTGCAGCAGGAGATTACCAGGTGAGAAGCGACGTACTGCTGCTCTAGCAGATGATCTAGTGAGGTTAAGAAAGTGAAACCAAGGTTGCAGGCAGGACATAAAAATAGGAAACTTTGCCCTCTCAGTGGACATTTTTACACCCCATACGTAGTTCAGGGAGGTTCTGGTATGTGGCATGTCCGTGGGCTTTACTGCGTGTCGGGTGAGCTATGACTTCACTGGGCTTTACTGCGTGTCGGGTGAGCTATGACTCACTGGGCACAAAGGTACGCTCAGAGGGAAAAATGGCACTCTTCCCTTGTGTGCGAGCTCTTCTGGTGGTTGCATCACCTTTAACGCTTCTGTTTTGTCTTGGATCCTTTGTAATGAGTCAGTGAGAGAAGAGGTTCAAAACAATCAGTAACTAAGTCTGTGTTCATTCCTCAGGGGAATGTGCCAAGGTTCTTGGAGTTCTCTGGCTCCATTGGCCATATCCTGGAGTGAGCTGGGAGAGGAAGCCGTGGGCGGGGACCGAGAAAGAGGGAGGGAGGTGTTTGAGATCAGAAAACTTTGGCCTACTGATGCACTGAAAAAGGAACAAAGCAAAAAGGAAAGATGATATGAAGGAGCAGAGTAGAGGAACTCATGTTCACTTTTTCCCCTCCTGAAGACAATCAAAACAAAAAAATGGACTCATATTTGAATTCTTTTTTTTTAAATAGTCTTTTTTTTTTTTTTTTTTGGACAGGCAGAGTGGACAGTGAGAGAGAGAGAGAGAGAAAGGTCTTCCTTTGCCGTTGGTTCACCCTCTAATGGCCACCGCGGCTGGCGCATCGCGCTGATCTGAAGGCAGGAGTCAGGTACTTATCCTGGTCTCCCATGCGGGTGCAGGGCCCAAGGACTTGGGCCATCCTCCACTGCACTCCCGGGCCATAGCAGAGAGCTGGCCTGGAAGAGGGGCAATTGGGACAGAATCCGGCGCCCCGAGCGGGACTAGAACCCGGTGTGCCGACGCCGCAAGGTGGAGGATTAGCCTAGTGAGCCGCAGCGCCGGCCTCATATTTGAATTCTTACACCTGCGTTTCTAAGTTCTCCAAAAACTACCACTACCTTATTTTTTTTAAAGATTTATTTATTTATTTGAAACTCAGAGTTACACAGAGATAGAAGGAGAGGTAGAGGTAGGGGTAGAGGTAGAGGTAGAGAAAGTTCTTCCATCTGCTCGTTCATTCCCCATGTGGGTGCAGGGACCCAAGGACTTGGGCCATCTACTGCTTTCCCAGGCCATAGCAGAGAGCTGGATTGGAAATGGAGCAGTCAGGACTCAATCTGGCACCCATAAGGGATGCTGGCACTGCAGGCAGCGGCTTTGCCTGCCACACCACAGTGCCAGTCCCCAGCTACCTTAATTTTTAAACCTTGTTTAACATTATTTTGGGGCCAGGCTGTACTACTGCCAGTGTCGCAAGCATACTGCATGTCTTTTCCTGTTTGTGTTCTAGACCTTTCTCCCCTGTTTGTATGCTTGAATCTGATTCCTTCATCAAGCTTCTTGACTTCCAGGCTAGAATGTGTGTTGCTTTCTCCACACTGCCATAGAATTTGCTTACACTTGTGTTAAGGTAGCAGTTGTCATTATAATTATTTGTGTACCTATCTTTTTCCTATATTTTATTTTATTTAAAAAAAACTTATTTTCATTTTAGTTGAAAGGCAAACAGAGAGAGATCTTTCATCCTAAATTGTCTACAACATATGACACTGGGACCTGCTGAAGCCAGGAGCCCAGAACTCAATCCTTAATTCTCAGTGTGGATGGCAGGGACCCAAGAACTTGAGCCATCACCTGAGCCTCTCAGGGTGCCCATTAGCAGAAAGCTAGAATCAGAAGCAGAGCAGGGACTTGAGCCCAGGCACTCTGACATACAATGAACACATCCTGAGTTGGATTGCAAGGATGGCACCAAACACCTGCCCTTTTCCTAATCCATGTTTTCATTAGCATTATCTTTCTTAATAACTAAGACAGTGCCCTTGCAGATCTTAAGAAACTGGTACAGCCACATGCTTGTTGGAGGGCCATTTGGGTCTGTTGGAAAAGGATGGAAGACCAAATAACCAAGGATCAGGTGGTAGGGATAAGCATGAACTGACTGTACAACAGGTCTGAGATCAAATATTTGACAAAAGAAATGGAAGCCAGCACGAAAAACATGAACCGGTCACTGTAACTCATTTAAACATTTACTGAAGATATGATATGATCTAGGAACTATATTCATTAGTGTTGTAGATGAATAATAAGTGAATGTGCTTTAATCTTACCCTGAGGAGTTACTCATAGTCTGGAACTGGCAGTTCATGTAAATAAATAATTACAGTACCTTGTGATAATAAATGCTTTAATTAAAGCTCTGGATTCCTAGGGTTGGGGCATGGGAAACCTGAGCTGGAAAGGTGGAGGACTTTTTCATAGACTGTAGAAGGAATTTTCTAGAAGGAATTTTGAATAGCTTGGGCAAAGCAGAGGCATAGTGAAAGTGACTGTTTTCAGGCTGTTTCAGATACTACCTGACACGGAAGAGGAGGTCTAAAAAGTTGATGTGTCTTACTTACAAAGTCACGGTTCAACGAGGAAGACATTTTCAAATTTTAAAATGACAGGAATGATCAATTTTGTATATTTACAAAGATCACCCATCACGGAAGGTGAATAGAAATGATGAGATTGTAGACAAGAGACCAGTGTTTCTGTCACAATGTAGGCACACATTATCCAGACCTAAACCATAGCATTAACTGTAGGAAAGACTTGGGGAGGATGGGCCGGTTAGGTTCAGTCAGTGGGATTGCTCAGTGATTAGGTGTAGAAGTTGTATTAGCAAGGATTAAGTTGTGGTAGGGCTGTGTATAACAAAACACCCTAAATATCATTGGCTTCTCAAAGAGAAGTCTAGAGGTCAGCTCTACTGAGCTTCTGAGGGCACCTGCTCCTTTTCTCAGATTGTTCCACCATCCTCAGCAAGCTCTTTCCATTCACTGGGTTACCCATGACCTGAGATGCCTAGAGAAGGTCTAGCTGTCACATCCATGGTGTCAGAAAGCAGGTCAGTGGTTTCCAAGAGAGGGAGAAGGGGTAGGAGAGAAGGATTATGAGGTGCATAAGGAAACTTGAAGGTACTTAGTAAATTTCCTTATCTTGTGGCAGTGGTTTCATGAATATTTTCTTATGTCAAAATTGAACACTTCAAATGTAAGCAATATATTAAATGCCAATTGTATATCAAAAAAGCATTAGAAAAAACCCACTAAGGGGCAGGCGTTTAGCCAGCAGTTGAGATGCCTACATCTCACATTGGAGTACCTGGGTTTGATTCCCGACTCTGGCCCCAACTCAGCTTCCTGTTACTGAAGATCCTGGGAGGCAGTGATGAAGGCTCAAAAGATTGAGTTCTTGCCACTCATGTTGAAGACCTGGATTGAGTTTCTGGCTCCTGGCTTCAGTCCAGCCCAGTGCTGGCCAGGGGAAACATTTGGGAAATGAGCTAGCAGGTGGGAGCTCCATCTTTCTGTCTCTCTGCCTCTAAATAAAGTTTTTGAAAAGGAAAGCTTGGGAGTAATTTGATTATCTAATAGGTAAAAGTAGAATAAAGCTAATAGAGCTGAGGAAGGAACTAGATAAGTTTTAAAATGATAGGAACTATGAAAGTATATCATATATTAGAAGACAAGATCAAAAGTCAAAAATATGTCATAAGATTCCATAAAGGAGAAAGCAAAACATCAGCAAAGAAAAAAAAATCAAATACCATGATAAGAAGCATTCCTGGAATGAAAGATGCCTTAGAATTCACTAGGAGAACAAACTGTGTACCTGGGATGGTCAACACAGGCCATCAGTACCAAGATATTTTCTGCAAGATCACTGGAAATTGGGCATCCAAACAGAACTCTAAAAAGTTACTCAGTTTTACTTGTAATTTTAATAATATAGGGTGGTTATCAAGTTTTTGGAAGAACACTAATAGACATAAGACATTTAACATATTCTAAAAGAAAGGAAATGTGAGGCAGTGATTATACGTCCAGCAAAAACAACCTTTAAGTATGTCTTAGCTCCAGCTGCCATAACAAAATACAAAGATGGGTGGCTAAGCCAACAGAAATATGTTTTCTCACAGCCTGGAGGTCTAAGCATGGTTGGGTTCTGGCATGGGGCCTTACCTGGCAGAGAGGAACACACTCTAGGGTTCCTTCTTAGAAGAGACTAAGTCTTCCTCCACCTTGCGGCGCCGGCACACCGGGTTCTAGTCCCGGTCGGGGCGCCGGATTCTGTCCCGGTTGCCCCTCTTCCAGGCCAGCTCTCTGCTATGGCCAGGGAGTGCAGTGGAGGATGGCCCAGGTGCTTGGGCCCTGCACCCCATGGGAGACCAGGAGAAGCACCTGGCTCCTGGCTTCAGATCAGCGCGGTGTGCCGGCCGCAGCGGCCATTAGAGGGTGAACCAACGGCAAAGGAAGACCTTTCTCTCTGTTTCTCTCTCTCTCTCACTGTCCACTCTGCCTGTCAAAAAAACCCCAAAAAACAAAAAACCACAAATCTAAATCCAAGTACCTCTTGAAAGCCCCTTCTATGAATATGGTCACATTGTTAATAAATGGATTTGGAATGGGAGTGGCACAGTTCCTTCCATAGCAAAATATTAAGACCCAAACAGTTGAGAACATGGGGGTCCTCAAGAGTATTGTTTCCATGTGCTGCTTCTGTTTTTTTTTTTTTTAATTTCTTTTCAAAGATTTATTTTTACTTATTTGAAAGGTAGAGTTACATAGAGAGGGAGAAAGAGAGGAGAGAGAGAGAGACAGATATCAGTCTTCCATGTGTTGGCCCACTGCCCAAATGGCAGCAACTGCTGAGGTAGGCCAGATCAAAATCGGGTTTTCTATGTGGGTGCAGGGTCCCAAGCACTCAGACTATCTTCTGCTTTCTTAGGCACATTAGCAGGGAGCTAGATTCGAAGTGGAGCAGCCAAGACTTGAACCGGTGCCCATTTGGGATGTTGGCTCCACAGGTGGAGGCTTAACCTACTACACCACAGTGCTGGCCCCTAACTTGGAATTTTTAACCTGTAAAATGTAGGAAAAATTGAGCATCATTAAAAATAGTCACTGCTTAGATGGAAACATATCAAATATATTTTTAAGATTCAGGAATTCAGAAAACTTAGATAGCTACCTCAACAGTTATCTTTGAAATTTGCTCAAGTACCAGTTTATTATTCTGAATGACAAAAAACTTTTCTCTATAGATTCTTTAAAGCAGTAAACAAGTATTTATTAGGGGAAGGTTTTTTGTAGAAGAATCATACTCAATAAAAGCAGTAGAAATTATAGAAAGGTCACCATTTTTCAATTCTTGGTAGAATAATATGTCTAGATAACAATCACCAATCATTGCTAAAACCTTTGCATGGAAGGGAACCGGCTGACGTCACCTGAACTCAGTGTGCAGTGTCACCGTTACAATAAATGGGACAATCAGATTCTGTTTCTCCTGATGTGATTCAGCAGGAAGTAGTCAGCACCATACATGAATTATTTGCAGAGAAACTAAACTTGTATCCAAGCAAGCCTCTAGTCTGTGCTGTTCAGAATGGTAGCCATTAGCACGTGAGGTTATTTGTAGGCAAATTTAAATGAATTAAAATTAAGCACAATTTAAAATTCAGCTCCTCAGTTGGCAGTAACCAAATTTCAAGTACTTAGAGGCCATACGTGGCTAATGGGTACCGTATTGGACAGCTCAGATACAGATAATTTCCTTGACTGCAGAGAGTTCTTCTAGATGATACTTTTCTAGATCCAGTGATTAATTCCCAGGAAAAAACCGGAGAGTGCATGAACATATCACATGACCCCGTGAGAGTACAGTCAGACGAATCCAAAAGTGGTGCATCCTACATGACAAGTGGTTCCATTTTGTTAGTAAATAACATGAAAATGAAGAGAGAGGAATCTCCCTTTGAGAGTAAGAATCTAAAATCTACATCAGATGTAATCTGCAGGCTTTGTTTTGATCTCTGGATCTGATTTTTTTTTTTAAGTATAAAGATCCATTTTTGAGGCAGTCGTGAACATTGTACCTGGATTGGGTATTGATTAGTGTGAAGACATTGTTCAGTTCGTTGGGTACAGTGAAAATTCTTTAAAGCTTGGCGTTTAGGGATGCACACTAATGCACACTATTTATAGGTGATGCAACACTTGGTGTTTATTTCATGTAAAATAGGCCAGGGAAAGAAAAGGGGGGTGGGTGGAAGAAGTGTGCCAGGCATAAGGGTGAGGATGGGTGAGGTGTGGGGTCACTGTGCTCACTCTCTGCACATCTGTTTCGAAATTCCTAAAATAAGTCATAAAAAAGTAAAAAGGCTGGTACGTCTACATTGCCTATATTACTATTCTAAGAAAAATGAAATATAAAAGCCACTTCACATATTATTTGGAATTTCTGTCACGCAAAATGGAATCTCCAGTTATTTACTATAATACTTTTATGTGAAGTAATTTTGTATTAGAAAATTGATGAATTGATGAAGATTTAGATAAAATACTTAGTTTTTTTTTTTTAAGATTTATTTATTTGTTTGAAAGGCAGAGTTACAGAGAGGCAGAGACAGAGAGAGATAGAGATCTTCCATCCACTGGTTCACTCCCTAGATGGTCGCAATGGCTGGAACCGTGCCAATCTGAAGCTGGCGCTGGGCCAATCTGAAGCCAGCAGCCAGGAGCTTCTTCTGGGTCTCCCGTGCAGGTGCAGGGGCCTAAGGACTTGGGCCATCTTCTACCGCTTTCCCAGGCCATAGCAGAGAGGTGGATTCGAAGTGGAGCAGCCGGGACTTGAACTGGTGCCCATATGGGATGCCAGCACTGCATGTGGCACCTTTACCTGCTGTTCCATAGCGCAGGCCCCCAAATCCTTAGTTTTAATCAGCATAGTTAGCTTCTAGGGCAAGGTCATGGACTAGAATTAAAACGTGCAAAATCTTACTTGGTTAACAGTTTTGAATTTAAGTGTGCAGGTTACCTTTTATTACTGCATTATTTTTTCTATTAATCATTTAGTCCATTTTGTAATAAATTTTGGAAGAGCATATTTATAAGCCAACTTTACTCTTAGCAACATATTGATGTTAGTAAACAGTGTTTAGCAGAACGTAATAATACTTTTGAAGAGAAGAGAAATTTCTTGGTCATCTTTTCTCATAGCATATGCTTTTTTAATCTTTCCATCCTACATGATTCTATCAGAGGATTTTAGGGAGAATATAATAAGAGATATAAAACAACCACTTCTGTTTCTTACTGTGTGTCAGTGTCTTTACAGATCCTATGAAGTAGATGCTTTTACTTGCGTTTTGTAGTCGAGGAAACCAAGACATAGAAAAGTTAAGTACCTTGCCCAAGGTCATACTGTTGTTATACACTAGAACTAGAATTGAATTCAAGTAGGCTGGCTTTTAAGTCCTTTCTTTCAACTACCAGATTCTATGGGCTCAAGTATAAAAACACTAAATAAAAGGGTTAGAGATACAGAATAAATGGAGATTTGTGGCATTTAAGGAAATAAGCTTCTGTGGTTTTTTAGACCTGGATTCCAACTCCGGGTTGGCCTGGCTCTGTGGATTTGAACACATTACCTGAGCTCTTGCTGCTCATCAGTAAATTGTGGCAATTATTAAATAGTGGAGAAAGTAACTGAGAGGGTAATAAGAGGGGTAATCACGACTGTGGCTGTGTCCAGATCTCAGTAGTCAAAGCAAAAGAGAAAATATTATGAGATGCGCCCTTCCCTATGTGACAAAAAAAGAGAAGCATTCTTGTTTGCAAGTGTGCCAATTGTTTCTTTTTTTTTTTTTTTTGATATATCAATTAAAAGGAATTAAAAGGTGGGATTTTGTATAAAAGACATTGGGCCAGCAATGAACAACTTAGAGCAAACGTGGAAGAATAGACTTTCATAAGTTTATTGTTAGGCAAAAGAATATTTTCGTGGAAGGCTAAATTATTTCTTCCAGGCAAGTTGTGTTCCAGTGTTTTTATTTGAATCAAGGAAAGAGCCTAGAATATGTAGAGTGGAGTCTGTGGGTAGGATATTTAATATATAAATTCCCTACATACAGTCTCCTCAGGTCAGCTTTAAGAGGAGCTGCCTTGGTGAAGGTTTCAAGTGTTCCTTTTTGACAGGATCTCAGAGCTGCTAGCGCTCTGTTTACTGACTGAAGAAAATCCTTGGTGTCTACAGGTGGAAAGAGGAGGGTCAGACCTAAATTCTCCATTCCTGAATGCATGGTGGTGTTTTGGTCTGATGTTTTGGTAAGAAAGGACAGAGACCTGAGAGCTGAGTACAATAAAAGAGGGTGATGTACGTAAGGATGTGTATGAAATGGTTCAAGGGAGGGCTCTCAGGGAATGCAAATGTGAACTGCGACAGGGCTGTGCTTCTCGGTCAGCCAAGCTGGAGGATACTCTGGATTCAAGATGGCACTCTAGATTGCACCGGCAGGGTCAGTGGCCCTTTATTCAACACTGTGTCCCCGGCTTATTAACACATAGTAGGCCTTCAGACCTACCTACCAAATAAAAGGAAGTGATAAATCTTCCATTTCGAGTTTTATCAAAATGGACAAGTGATACAGGTGAATTCTGCCTAATGGTTGCAGATACTAACAGCTACTGTGTACACAACCGCCATGTTCCCAGTCTTGTGTTAAGAGCTTTTTATATACTGCGTGATAATTTTCAGCCCCATGAAGAGGTGATGGTGCCCTCATTTTTCTAGTGATAAAATTAAACCCATTGATCAAAACTTGCCCAAATTCCTGGGGAATACTAAGTGGGAGGACTAGAACTTGACTGTGACGCTTGGCTGATAGTTGGTCCTCTGTGTAGTAAAATAGAAGGATGGTGGGCAGAAGTAAATACTTTAGGGAATATTAAAAAAAGTATCTTAGCAACACCTATTCTTTTTGATATTTCATCAAAAACTTTCTTATTACAAATATGATCTGAAATATCAGGGACATTTTCCTCTGGCTTTACTTTCCAGGGCTTGGTAACTTCTACCAGGCAGGATAAGCAAAGGCTAACAGTTGTATTACCGTGTTCCTAGTCAAAGTTTTGTGTGTTTATTTGTGAGAGAGAACAAGAGAAAGGAAAACTCCGGTTTGCTGGTACACTCCCCAAATGTGTGCCAGGGCTGAGCCAGGCTTGTGCTGAAGTCTCCCACATGGGTGACAGGGTTCCGATTACTGGAGCCATCACTCATGCCTCTCCTGGGTCCCCATTAGCAGGAAGTGGAATCAGGAGCCAGAGCCAGGATCAAATCTGGAAATAAACAGAAGGCACAGGCATTCCAACCTTCTTAATCGCCAGGCGAGAAACCCAGTCAGAGTTTCTAAAGATTGGCCATTAATTCTTCACTTTCTCAAACAAAAAGAACAAATTACAGGGTCTGTCTTACAGCCGACCAGATATCTTACAGGTGTCTACAGATGACCAACTAAGGTTTTAGATGGTTTTCACTTTGAAATAACTATATTTAGGGATAAGTGACTCATTAAATTGATTAAATTGTGTGTATGTGTAAGTGTAGTTGAAGTGTAGTCAAGGACATTCTTTTCATTCTTTGAAAACATAGGGAGGTTAAGACTTTGACTAGTTTGTGCTCCTCTATTGAATTATGATAAGATTCATTGTGTCTCAAGGATAATATTGATATTGACTTTGTGAAATTCCATTTTTTTATAGGTATCAGTATTATCTGCAACTGAAGAAAGATATCTTGGAAGGAAACATTCCTTGTACGTTAGAACAAGCTATTCAGCTGGCAGGCTTAGCTGTTCAAGGTAAATAAGGGCAATTAATAATTTCATAGCTCTGTCAGATTAAAATGTGTGTGGTAACAAAGACAGCAGGGGTTCTGCAAGTAACTGACCTTCCACGTGTATCTTTCGTAGTGTTGATGTGTGAGTGAAATACACTTGTTACCTAAGGGCCTTCCTTTAGGGGAAAAATGCATCGGGATTACGTCTATGAAACCTGAAGCTTCTGGAAGGTTAACCAGAGTATGACCGAACAGCACAACAAGCAGAAATACATACCTATATACATGTTTAAAGCATTTAATATTTTTTAAAATGTGATTGCTTTTTTTTTTTTTTTTTTAAGATTTATTTATTTGAAAGAGTTACACAGAGAGAGGAGAGGCAGAGAGAGAGAGAGAGGTCCTCCATCCGCCAGTTCACTCCCCAGTTGGCTACAGTGGCTGGCCAGAGCTGAGTCGATCCAATGCCAGGAGCTAGGAGTTTCTTCTGGGTCTTCCACGTGGGTGCAGGGGCCCAAGGACTTGGGCCATCTTCTATTGCTTTCCCAGGCCATAGCAGAGAGCTGGATTGGAAATGGAGCAGCCGGGACTCTAACTGGTGCCCATATGGGATGCCAGTACTGCAGGCGGAGGCTTTACCTGCTACGGCATAGCACCGGCCCCGAACATTTAATATTTTATCAGGACTTGACTTGCCACCAGTTACTATTTTAGGAAGAAAAAGCTACCAATGAGTGGTGTTGATTAGATTATGCTCACGTTAAGTGCACTTCATTGGTTTGATTTCTTACATAGCAGTTATGGATTATAGAGCATATCAATCATAACAGATTTTGTGGGTTTTTCAATTATTTATTTATTTGAAAGGCAGAGTTAACAGGGAGAGGGGTAGAGAGAGGGGTAGAGAGAGAGAGATTTTCCATTCTCTGTTTCAATCCCCAAATGGCTATAATATCCAGGGTCTGGCTAGTATGGAGCCAGGAGCCAGGAGCTTCTTCCGGGTCTCCCACGTGGGTGCAAGGGCCCAAGCACTTGGGCCATTTTCCACTGTTTTTCTGGGTGTATGAGCAGGGAGCTGGATTGAAGTGGAGCAGCCGGGACTGGCGCATGCTGGCACTGCAGGCAGTGACTTAACCCAGTATGCCACAGTGCTGGTCCCTAGATTTCACAAACATTTTTGAATTTCATTCTTTTATTTTTCACATATCTAATCTATATGTGTTTATATTTATATATACATATTTGGAGAAGATTTCTGATGGGGCATTATTTCAAATGGTAATGAAACTAACCATGAGAATTGAGATTTAAAAAAAGAAAGATTTGTTTATTTGAAAGAGTGACACAGAGAGATGGACATAGAGAGATCTTGCATCCCTGGTTCACTCCACAAGTGACTGCAATAGCCAGGTCTGGTCCGGGCAGTAGCCACAAACCAGGAACTCCATCCTAGTCTCCCACATGGGTGGCAGGGGCCCAAGCACTTGGGTAACTCTCCACTGCCTTTCCAAGCTTATTAACAGGAAGCTAGATCAGAAACAGAACAGCCAGGACTCCAGCTGGCACTCTCATGGGATGTTCTCATGGCAAGTGATGGCTTAACCTGCTGCACCACAGCACTAATGCCGGGAATTTTAATTTAATCAGAATATTCATTACTGAAACTCCAGATATCAGCAGGCACGGAGACACTATCATTTCTCAATCAACAAATGCCTGATACATGTGCAGCTATAGTCCCATTGAAAGTACATTGAATTTTCTTAAGTATCACCTGCTTTTTTTTATTTTTATTTTTTAAGATTTATTTTATTTACTTGAAAGAGTTACAGAGAGAGATAGAGGTGAAGAGGTCGTCCATCTGCTGGTTTACTCCCCAAATGGCCGATCCAGAGCCAGGAGCCAGGAGCTTCTTCTGGGTCTCCCACGTGGGTGCAGGGGCCCAAGGACCTGGACCACCCTCTGCTGTTTTCCCAGGCCATAGCAGAGAGCTGGATCTGAAATGCAGCATCTGGGACTAGGACCAGTGTCCATATGGGATGCAGTGCTGCAGAACAGGGATTTAACCTGCTTGTGCCACAGTGCCAGCCCCTGTGTTTTTCTTTTTTTGATTAAAGATTTATTTTTTATTTATTTATTTTAAAGAATGACAGGAGGCTAGAGAGAGAGGGAGAAGAAAAGTGAGATATTTTCCATCCTTTGGTATATGCCTGAAATGCCTGCAACAGCTGGAGCTGCGGCAGGCTCAAGCCAGGTGTCTGGAACTCCGTCCAGGTTTCCCACTGGTATCTGCTGCTTTCCCAAATGCATCAGCAGGAAGCAGGGTGGGAAGTGGAGTAGCCAGGACTTGCACTGTCACTCTGATGTGGGATATGGGCTTTCTAGATGGCTCCTTCACATGTTTGGCCATAATGTCCGCCCCCCTCACATTTGTCTTTTTTTGTTTGTTTGTTTAAAGATTTATTTATTTATTTGAAAGGCAGAGTTACAGAGAGGCGGGGGTGGGGGAGAGGTCTTCCATCCACTGGTTCACTCCCCAGTTGGCCGCAACAGCTGGAGCTACGCCGATCCGAAGCCAGGAGCTTCTTGGCCCCCCCCGCAGATGCAGGGGCCTGAGGACTTGGGCCATCTTTTACTGCTTTCCCAGGCCATAGCAGAGCTGGATTGGAAGTGGGGCAGCTGGGACTAGAACCAGTACCCATATGAGATGCTGACGCGCAGGCAGCTAAGCCACAGCACCTGTCCCACCTTTGTCTTTTAAGTTGCCCTTTTCATCAGTTTTTTTTTTTTGCTGAATTATCACTTTTTTTTTAAAACAGTTTAAAATTCAAAACAAATTTATCTTGCTGGAGAATAATATTCAGATGATTTTAATTCCATTCCCCAGAGATAATCACTTTTGTTGAGTTTGGTTTCTTCTGCAGGGTAGGTTTTGTTTGTTTTTTTTTTTTTTTTAAATTATAAAAACACAAGTGCATATTATGTAGTTTGTAACATTTTACTTCATTCACAGCCATTTTCCCCATCAAGACATGACTCTACCTGATTAATGTTTGTTTAAATGATATTTGATTTCTGACTCATAAGAACAGTACTTGAATATTGAATTTTATTGTGCATGTCCTGCTCTGCAAATTAAATGTAATCAACATGTGAATATTTGTCGTTTTGTGTAGCTGATTTTGGTGACTTTGATCAGTATGAATCCCAGGACTTCCTTCAGAAATTTGCCTTGTTTCCTGTGGTAAGAATTCGTTTGACCTTGGGCCCTTCTATAAAGTTTGTTCCTGTACCCTTAGTAATCCCTGAAGTCAGCTCCACATGGTGGACCTGCTGGGCAGGAATGGTGTTGACGCATCAGTTCCCTCCTGGAGGGTCTCCCGTGTGAGTGCTGTGGTTTTCTGGGTTCCTGTAAACGTGAATGTGTAAATGTGCCCAGAGAACTTCGTGTGCTGTTTGGATTTGAGTCTCAAGAGAGGGATTCGTTTTCAGCTTCTGTGGGACCATGCAGAGGCTTTGCTTCTTTTAATTTAATTTAATTTATTTGAAAGAGTTACAGAGAGAGGTAGAGACAGGGGTGGGGGGGGTATGTCTTCCATCTGCTGGTTCACTCCCCAGTTGGCCACAGTGGCTGGAGCTGCGCTGATCCGAAGCCAGGAGCCAGGAGCTTCCTCCAGGTCTTCCACATGGGCACCAGGGTCCAAGGACTCTGCTGCTTTCCCAGGCCATAGCAGAGAGCTGGGTCAGAAGTGGAGCAGCTGGGAGTCAAACTAGTGCCCATATAGGATGCTGCTGCTGCAGGCCAGGGCTTTAACCCACTGCGCCCTAGCACCAGCCCCCATAGGCTTTGCTTTTTAACTTGAGGCTTGAAACTTTAAGGCTTGAAACCTCCCAGAGTTAGGTTGAAATGAACTTGACCTCTCAGCAGCAATTTTAAAAGCAGATGACAGGCCGGCGCCGCGGCTCACTAGGCTAATCCTCCGCCTTGCGGCGCCGGCACACCGGGTTCTAGTCCCGGTCGGGGCGCCGGATTCTGTCCCGGTTGCCCCTCTTCCAGGCCAGCCCTCTGCTGTGGCCAGGGAGTGCAGTGGAGGATGGCCCAGGTGCTTGGGCCCTGCACCCCATGGGAGACCAGGAAAAGCACCTGGCTCCTGGCTCCTGCCATCGGATCAGCGTGGTGCCCCGGCCGCAGCACGCCGGCCGCGGTGGCCATTGGAGGGTGAACCAACGGCAAAGGAAGACCTTTCTCTCTGTCTCTCTCTCTCACTGTCCACTCTGCCTGTCAAAAAAAAAAAAAAAAAAAAAAAAAAAAAAAAAGCAGATGACAGACAAGAAACCACTGTTTCTAAGCCTGTGCTGATGGAAATGACATGAAAACTGTCGAGACATCTGAAGGAGGTGTGCACTTCCGTGTTTACACAGCCAACCAGAGGATGCACGAGAGGTGGTGGGTGTGCTGGGTTCAGGTCTGGCTGAATCTTTCTCAGGGCAGGGGTTTGGGCTCTTGAGCAGAAGCCACTTAGTTCCTTAGGGGGATCACGATCGCGGGCACAAGCCAGGCTCCCTCTGTTTAGGGCCAGTTGTGGTTTTGCCTGCTGGTGACGCGAGCTGGCGATGACTGCTCCATGGGAATGTGGGCCAGCTGTTTCATTTAGTGATTGCTGATGTGCTTTCTTCAGGCATGGTTACAAGATGAGAAAGTCCTGGAAGAAGCTACCCAGAAGGTGGCCTTACTACATCAGAAATACAGGTAACGTTAAGACATCGGGCAGAACTCACACCTGTTCGAATTTGAAATCTGCGGGACAGCAGATAAACCTGGCGCTGCGTTGCTGATGCTCGTCCTCGTGTTACAAGCCGCCGGCATTCACAGAGCGCCCGCTCTGCACCAAGTGCTGCTCTAGCTAAGCACCCGGCCGCATGAACTCGTTTGTTATCCACGTGTTACCAGTGAGGGAACCGAGGGAGGTTGCTGGCCGGCAGCCTGAAAGGTGCCCGTTGAGGGCTTGATGTAGGGCATGGGGGGTGGGTTTCCTTCTCCGATGGACGAGCAAGTGCCAGGGCTACTTGCCCTCAGACCTTTGGAAGCCGCGTTGCTGGCCTCTGGGGAGCCGTGCTAGGAGCTATGGTGCCTGTGCCCTGGCCTCTGCCTCTGCCCACCTGTGTGTGCTGGTAGATGCCGATTTCCTCGCATTGGTCTTTTTCCAAACCAAATACCGCTCATCTGCAGGGACTTCATAGCTCGTTAATGTTAATTCTTGTAACTTTAGTGTGCAGATGGGAAAACCAGATTCAAAAAAGACTTAGTGTCTCCATCTGAGGTAGGGTTGGGATTTGAAAGCAGGTCTGCCTGATTATAATATTGATGCCCTTCCAAGTAAAATAACTTTTTGCCTGTGGTCTGTTTCCACTGAGATCTCTGGAACAGTTGAACCATCCTGAAATACCCCTTCCTCCTGGGCCTCTGTGTCCCCGCCTCCTTCCCACATGCTCATGGGTATTTTTCTCCACGAGCCTGTGTTTCTCACCCTGGGGTAAAGGCCTCCCATAAGTTATTTACGTCCTGCCTTTCCTGGGAAACACTGCTGACCAGAGGAACCACGTGTTTTGCTAGCATAGTTGATCCCTTTGGGCATATGTTGCCCTGATTTCTATTGCTTTCATTCTTTCATTTCCTTGAAGATGGTGTAGGACGAGGGTGTGCTGGATGCTGGTGCACAGAGCTAAATGGAATAATCTGCTTGCCACGAGTGCACTCCCAGCCTTGCAGTTGAAGGGGTGGGCAGGGCATCCGTGGTTATAGTAATTCCGATACCTTTAATAAGGGAATGAGCACCCTGGGAGAGGTGAGGGCAGAATGGCTTGGGATTGCACAGTGCAGTGGCATTGGGGGATCTCACAAGGTGACATAGGAGAGCGTTAGGTAGGCAGACTCTTGAAGGGCATTAGGGACGGACCAGGTCCACACACGGATGACAGATATACCTAGAAGCAGTGGTAGCATGTGCAAAGGCCCAGCGACGTGAGTGAACCTGATGCATTCAAAGAAATTAGGAGTGTGGAACGGCTGCATTGTGGGGTGCCTTGAGGGTGTGAAAGGGGAGAAGCCGAGGCTGTAGAGGTGACAGTCCAAGCCGCTGAGCACCGGCCCTTCACCAACACTGGCTTCCCGCCATCCTGACAGCGTGCCACTCACACGAGCTAAAAGGATATCCCTCTCCCCATCCCTGCATTTACCATTAGGGGTTTACCAATAACGCCTGATGTTTTGGATAATAAGCAATTACGTGGTGACTTAGAAAGGGTCCTCTCATGCGATGATTATCTTGTTTTATCTGTTGCCCAAGAGGTAGGGATTTATATAACTTGCCATCCTCATTCAGAACAACAGTTTGCCTGCTGTTGGTTGTTGGTAAATATTAAGAAGATTAATAGGACCAATCAAGATCCTTTGAAATGTGAAATGTTTATAATATTTTGTGCCAAGTTGAAGTGCAATGTTTTAAAGAAAAGCTTTATTTTCTAAAAAAAAAAAAAATTGGTTTTTGTGACCAACCTCAGCAAGTTCTTTCGGGTTCCAGGGGCCTCACAGCTCCCGATGCTGAGATGCTGTACATGCAGGAGGTAGAGAGAATGGACGGCTACGGGGAAGAGAGCTACCCTGCCAAGGTAAGCGAGGCTGGAAGGCCGGGGCTGTCTGGGATCAGACTGAGCAGTTGGAGAGAATGGGGCGGTGGCAGGGTGGGGCTAAGACCGCCGTGACGTGCAGAAGCTGACGACACACACAAGGACACGCTGAGGTCCTCGTCGCCAGAAGTTTTGGCAGCTTGTGCTTTGAACAGCTCTAGAAATACAGTTCTTCCGACTTTCCTGCCTTCAGAAGATAATGCATTTACAGGTCATTTCGCTTAACAGTGGACCAGACAGTGTGTGTGACCGTGGTCGCGCCAGATTACATTGCTAGTGACGTCATAGCTGTCTTGGTTTGTGTAGGCGCACTCTCTGATAGTTACACAAGGGTGAAAACACTGCTGACGCCTTGCGCAGAGCACGTCCCTGTGGCTAAGGGGCGCGTGACTGCTTGGCTGCCTGCAGACTTTGCTTCTTCTCTGTGGGTCTTTTGGACGTTCCCTACCTGGGAACCAAGTTTAAGAAAGTAGACGCTCTTGTTGAAGCTCTCTTGCGTCTCCTTCCTGACAACTCTTTTCTGCTCCCTCCTCTTTAGGATAGCCAAGGAAGTGATATATCCATCGGAGCATGCCTTGAGGGAATCTTCGTGAAACACAAGAATGGAAGACCTCCGGTGATATTCAGGTCTTTTTCTTACTACCTTTTTTCTTTTTTCAAAAAGATTTATTTATTTATTTTTTATGTGAAAGGCAGAGCTACAGAGAGATAGAGGCAGAGATAGAGAGAGAGAGAGGTCTTCCATCTGCTGGTTCATTCCCCAAATAGCCACAATGGCCTGAGCTGGGCCGATCTGAAGCCAGGAGCCTGGAGCCTCCTCCGGCTCCTCCATGCGGTTGCAGGGACCCAAGGACTCAGGCCATTCTCTGCTGTTTTTCCAGGCCATAGCAGAGAGCTGGATCAGAAGTGGGGCAGCCAGGATTTGGACTGGTGTCCATATGGGATGCCAGCACTGCAGGCAGCAGCTTTACCTGCTACATCACAGTGCTGGCCCCTCTTACTTCTCTCTGCATGCTCCCCGTGGCCCTGGTTGGTGATTTTTAGTTTTTAGTTTTAAATTTAGTGTTTAAATGTTTGTTTATTTTCTTAAAAGAGTGACAGAGAGGGAGAGGGAGATGAAGAGAGAGAGAGAGAGAGAGATACACCGAGTCTTCTACCTGCTGTTTCACTTCCCAGATTTCCACAATAGTGAGGGCTGGGCGAGGCCAAAGCCAGGAGACTGGAACTCCATCCAGGTTTCTCATGTTGGTGACAGAATCCCAAGCCCTTGAGCCCTCACCTGCTGCCTCCCAGGATGCATTAGCAGGAAGCTGGATCAGAAGAGAGTAAACGGGAGTCAAGCTGGCAGTCCAGAGTGGGCTGTGGGCATTGCACCACGATGTCCACCTCTGCTTGGTGATTCTTAAAACTAGTTACAGTTAAATTACCCAAAATTCTTTTCCTGGCATCTCATTAGAATTCCCTTCCTTTGGGGCCAGCACTGTGGAACAGTGGGTTAAGCTACCTTCTGCAGTACTGGCTGAGTCCTGGCTGCTCTGCTTCCACTCCAGCTCCCTGCTAATGTGCCTGGGAAAGAGCAGAGCATGGCCCAAGCCCTTGGGCCCCTGCACCCATATGGAAGACCTGAAAGAAGATCCTGGCTTCTGGCTTTGGTATCACTCAATCCCAATCTTAGCGGCCATCTGGGGAGTGAACCAGTGCATGGAAGATGTCTCTCTCTTGCGCTCTCTCTTACTCCCTCTGTCTCTTCTCTCTGTAATTCTGACTTTCAGGTAAGTTCTTTATATTGAACTTGATCTTTACCCTAAAGCTGTTGAGAGCATGTCCCCTCCCTGCTTTTGGGCCTCATTTTACCCTGTTCCCCTGCAACAGTGGGGACAGCATTTGCCTCTCTGTCTTGTGATCACCAATCACTGTGATCTTAGTACCTCTAGTACCTGACATTGTTAGAATGAGTATCCTTTAGAATGTTCATTGATTGAATAAATGAGGCTTTGTTATGTAGCTAAGACTGGGATCAGTGATCACTGACCTAATCAAGCAGGTGAAGGTAATATGTTTAAGTCTTTTTGTTGTTTTTAAAGATTTACTTATTTATTTGAAAGGCAGAGGGAGAGGGGGAGAGAGAGAGAGAGAGAGAAAGAGGTATCTTTCCATCCACTGGTTCAGTCCCCAAATGGCTGCAGCAGCCAAAGCTGGGTTGATCTGAGCCAGGAGCTTCTTCTAGGTCTCTCACGCAGTTGCAGCTGCCCGAGTACTTGGGCATCTTCCACTGCTTTCCTGGACCGCAGTAGAGAGCTGGATCAGATGTGGAGCAACCGGGACTTGAACTGGTGCCAACATGGGATGACTGCACTGCAGGTGTTGGCTTTACCTCCTGTACTGCAGGCCCGGTTCCTTAAGTCTTTCTAATTTTCTTTACTCTCATTTAGTGTACATGTGTTTACTTATTACAACTAGCTGCTATCACTTCAATTAGGAAATGTAATCTAGTCGATTAAGAACGATTGTTAAAAAGGTGGTTAACAAATGTTAACTTAGACATAAGCTTAAAAAAATTGTGTGGTCTGTGTTGTATTGCAGGGGGTAAAGTGCCACTTGGAATGCCCAGGTTCCAAATCCAAGTGCCAGTTCAAGTCTCAGCTGCTCTGCCTCTGATCCAGCATGCTGCCAACACAGCCTAAGAGGCAGCAGATGTTGGCTCAAGGGTTTGGGTGTCCATTACCCACAAGAGAGACTAAGATGGAGTTCTGGTCTCCTGGCTTCAGCCTGGCCCAGCCCTAGAGTTGTAGGCACGTGCGGAGTGAACCAGTGGATGAAAGATTTCTCTGTCTTTGTCACTGTGCCTTTCAAATAAATCAATCTTTTAAAAAAAGGAATAGCAAAATCCCTCTCTCCTAGTACATACATGAGCACTCAAATTACCATTCTTTCTGTGTTGTCCTTTAGGTGGCATGACATTGCTAACATGTCCCACAACAAGTCCTTTTTTGCCTTAGAGCTGGCAAACAAAGAGGAGACCATCCAGTTTCAAACTGTGAGTAAGCGTTAGGACTTTGCATGGAATGTTTGCCTAAACATCCCAGATGTTAGCAGCTCTGTGTCCTTTTGTATGTTTTAGGGGAGGGGCGTGACATTAAAATATAATATTTCACATTTTTTTAAACATTACAAAATTTTATAAACCTTGCAACATTTTGCATAATAGCACTTGGCAAAAAGTAATCACCCAGTAAGTATTGTTGAATGAATGAGTCTTTGGGTAAGTGCTCTCAGATCATGTTGAGCTTTGAATTTAAACCTCAGGGACTACAAAAGGGAGGAAGTAAGCACTAATATCCTTTTTTTTTTTTTGAGATTTACGTATTTATTTGAAAGGCAGAGTTACAGAGAGACAGAGAGAAAAGTCTTCCATCTGCTGGTTCACTCCCCAAATGGCTGCAAGGGCCGGAGCTGTGCCGATCCGAAGCCAGGAGCCTGGAGCTTCTTCCAGGTCTCCCACATGGGTGCAGGAGCCCAAGGAATTGGGCCATCCTCTGCTGCTTCCCAGGCCATTAGCAGAGAAGTGGATTGAAAGTGGAGCAGCTGGGACTTGAACTGGCATTCATGGGGTTGCCGGCACTGCAGGCAGCGGCTTTACCTGCTACACCATAGCACTGGCCCCAGCACTGACATCTTAATTCCAGTAGTTAAGTGAATAATCTGCAGAAATATTTATGAGTTATTTGCTTTTGCTCTGTTGACAAAGGCAATATTGAGTCTGAGTCAAATGTTTTGTTTAAAACTTCTTTGAGTATATTTGTCAAGAATAAAAATTGATATCTTTATGTGTTTTGTATTCTAGGTCTTTTTTTTTTTAAAGTACACTTTTAAAAAGTTTATTTGGAAAGCAGACAGATAGACAATAACAGAGATCTTCTGTCTGCTGGTTCGTTCTACAAATGCCTGTAACAGCTAGTGCTTGGCCTGGTCAAAACCAAGAGCCCAGACTCAATCCAGGTCTCTCACTTGGGTGGCCGGGACCAAGTACTTGAGCCATCACGGTCGCCTCCCATGGTATGCGTTAGCAGGAACTGGAATCAGAAGTGGAGCTGAGGTTGGAACCCACACATGTTATTGGATGTGGGTGTCCCAAGTGGCATCTTGACTGCTATACCAGTTGCCTGCTGTGGCCCTTTTTTTTTTTTTTTTTTAAAAAGCTTGTTTTTGATCAAAAAACAAGCTTATTTGAGAGGCAGAGAGAGTGATAGATAGATAGATATTTAGATACATAGATATATAGATACACAGAAAGAAAAAGAGAAGAGGGAGCGAGTGTTCCCATCCACTGGTTCACTCCTCAGTGCCTTTGCTGGCTAGGGGAGTTGAAGCTGGTCTCTGGGAACACAACCCAGGTTTCCCACTCACCAGAGCTTTCACATCTATTTCCCAGTGTCTTCATTAGCAGGAAGCTGACTCAGGCACTCTGATGTGCGAGGTGGGCATCTTAACTGCTAGGCTAGGCACTTGCTTCCTCTAAGCACTCAGTTCCTCTCAATTGAACCTGTTTAATGTCAGACTCACAGTGTTAGCACATACTCCTTTTCTTGCCTTTATAAATCAGATCCTACTGTGGCATTCATGTGATAGGACACAGTGTTAGGATATCAAGAATCACCGTGAACAGAAAGTGAGTTTGCCATGATCTGTCGCCCAGTTATGCCTTGTCCTCAGCTGAACTCTGCATTAAAAGCATCAAGCTGCGTGCGTGCTTTCATATTGCTTTATGCATATTTTGTTTGCTAGGAAGACATGGAAACTGCAAAGTATGTATGGAGGCTGTGCGTCGCGAGACACAAATTTTACCGACTAAACCAGTGTAACCTGTAAGTATATCCTGCTTGTGGAAATGGTATAGAGTAACTTAGAAATTTTAATCTTGAACTTTGTCGTATCATTCAGGGAAGAAAGTTTTGTCAGAACAGTATCTTTTATTGACAGTTTGTGATAATATCATCTTTAATCCCATGTTAAAAATCCCATGTTAACATTTTATGAGTTTTCCCCTCTCATTTTAGCTTTGAACCAACTTCTTTTTAAAAATTTTTATTTATGTGAAAGGCAGAGGGACAGAGATAGAAATCTTTCATCTATTGATTCACTCCCCAAATGCCAGTAGTAGCCAGGGTTGGGCCAGGCCAAAGCTGGGAATTGAACTCATTTTTGGTCTCACAAGTGGGTGGCAGGAACCCAAGGACTTGGGCTATCACCTGCTGCCTTCCGGGGTGTGCATCAACAGGAAGCTGGAATTGGAATTGAGGAGTCTGACTCAAATCAGGCACTCCGATACGGGAAGTGGGCATCTCAAGCAGGGTCTTAACCTTCACCCTGGACTGAGCTGGCCGCAGAATGCTGGGCATATTCTAGTACCTTTTCTTTAAAAGATTTATTTATTTATTTGAAAGGTAGAGTTACAGAGAGAGAGAAAGAGAGAGAGAGAACTTCCCATTTGCTGGTTCACTCTCCAGGCTGCAACAGCCAGAGCTGGGCCGATCCAAAGCCAGGAGTCACTAGCTTCTCCCAGGTCTCTTACATGGGTGCAGGGGCTTAAGCACTTGGGCCATCTTCTGCTGCTTTCCCAGGCGCATCAGCAGGGAGCTGGATGGGAAGTGGAGCAGCTGGGACCTGAACGCGTGCCCATGTGGGAGGCCGGCACTGCAGGCGGAAGCTTTACCTGCTGTGCCACAGTGCCGCCTCCTGGACTGAGTTTTAACTTTGGATATGCCTCTAAGATTTCTTCCGATCAGGAACTCAAGGTCTTCGTACCGAAATTTGAACAGGGAAAAACATCCGTTGCTTTTAAAAACCAGAGCCCTGCTCAGCATGTGGGGTAAAGGCTGTCCGCTCTCCGGGGTTTGAAGAACGCGTGCCCCTTCTTGCTGACGTGCCTCCCGGCTTCCCGCCCTGCGCGATCTCAGCCGTCAGCATACACACTCTCTGCGATGCTTCCCACGGAAAACTGGTGCACCTGCGCCCCCAGCCTCACTGCGTCTCCATCTCCTGTTTACAGGAGAGTTCTTCTTGGGTGTTGTATATTCTTGAGTTCCCTTATTGCCGCCCGTTTCCCCTGGGCGGCCACTCCAGTGCCTCTGCCCTCATAGTCAGGTGACCTTCCCGCTGTGGTCACTGCAGGTCCTGGTCCCTCGACCGCTCCAGGGCCCTGAGCCTCCTGCTGCTGCTTCCTTCCCTGACCCCAGGATGCCGCACCCCGCCTGGCTTCCTTATCTTCGCTGTACTTCCCAGCACCCTTTGCTGGTTCCACCCTGATACCTGTCCTGCACCTACTCCCTTCTCCCGGAGGTCTCAGGCTTCTGTGCTTGGCTTCTAGCCCCTCTCCCTGAGCTGTTGACTCGTGCACCCTGCTGCCTGCTGACATTTCTCTTGGGAAATTTGATACAGTTAACAACTCTTTGGATCTCCTCCTCCCTTCCTGGTGCAAGTCCACATCTCCCCTGCCTTTCTTACGTCAGCAGGAGGCCGAGCACCGTGCTCAGACCTGGCAGTCGTACTTCCTACTTCCATTTCATGCCACGTGGTTCATCAGCACGCGTTGACAGCTCTACATTCACGGCCTATCTGGGCTGGGCATTTGGCCTAGTGGTGAAGGTGCCTGTATCCCCACCTCAGAGGGTCTGGGTTCAACACTTGGCTCTGGCTCCTGATTCCAACTTCCTGCTCACTCAGACCCTGGGAGGCAGCAGTGTAATTGGGTTCCTGCTGTCTATGTGGGAGACCAGGATTGAGTTCCCAGCCCTGGCTGTTTGAGCATTTGGTACATGAACCAGCAGATGGAGCTCTGACTGTCTACCTCTCTAATGCAAGCAAATAGCAAACAGTCAGAAAACCGATCAGAAAGGAGCTGGGTGTTTTTCTACCCTGGCTGCTGCTGCCACAGCGCCAGCTGCCCTCGTTTCTCACCTGCAGCATTGTGGTGGCCTCTCCCTGCCCCGTTTCCGGGCCCCTCCTGCCAGTAGCGTATTTGCTACGAGTTAGCCAGAACGGGCAGAGTGGAACAGGAGTCGGATCCTGCCCCATTTCTTACGACTCTCCGTTGGCCTCCTGTCTCTCTGGTAGCAGAAGTCTGAGGTTGGCCGTGATGTAGTCCTCGCCTGCCTCCAGCCTTGCTTCCTGCTCCCTCCTGGCCTCCCTGCTAGGCTGTGCGTTCCCTCACCCCTGGGCAGACTAATCCTTCCTTACCCAGCTGGGACTTCCTTCTCGAATTGTGCTCCCTGAGTGCAGTCAGTGGTCTGATCACACATGCTGCCCCTGCCTACCCAGTGTCACCCTGCCCACTGCAACCCTGACCCTGTCTAGTTATTCTCTGTGCCACTTGGCACCAACTGAACACACATATTCGTCTCTTTACTTGCTTCTTGGCTGCCTTCTATCCCTCGCTGGTGGGTTAGCTTCCCAGCCATGCCCAAGTGCAGATGCTGTCCATGTCTTACTGCCAAGTAAGTCCCCAGTGCCAAGCAAGTGCCTGGCTCTCGGTGAGCCTTGGGTGATCACTGATGTCATAAGTAACAGTGCCAACTGTTAAGTCAACAACAGGAGTCACTGTGCACTTGTTCCCCGTGTAGGACCTCTGTTCTTAATGAGTTGTACTATAAGAATTAACTGTAAAAGTTGTTTTCAAACAGTACTTTATACTTTGTGTGTCTGTGTGGATGCAAACTGTTGAAATCTTTACTTAGTATAGGGTGGTCTTCTGTATATAAAGATAACTAAAACCGAATCTTATTTTTTTTTTAAAGATTTATTTGTTTTTTACTTGAGAGTTAGAATTACACAGAGAGAGGAGAGGCAGAGAGAGAGAGAGAGAGAGAGAGAGAGGTCTTCCATCCATTGGTTCACTCCCCAGTACGCCGCAATGGCTGGAACTGCGCCAATCCGAAACCAGGAGCCAGGAGCTTCTTCTGGGTCTCCCACATGGGCGCAGGGACCCGAGGACTTGGGCCATCCTCTACTGCTATCCCAGGCCATAGCAGAGAGCTGGGTCGGATGTGGAGCAGCCGGGACTAGAACCAGCGCGCATATGGGATGCCGGTACTTTAGGCCAGGGCGTTAACCTGCTGCACCACAGCGCGGGCCCCAAAAACGAATCTTAATATGAAGAATGGGATGGGAGAGGGAGTAGGAGGTGGGAGGGCGAGTGTTGGGGGAAGAACCACAATATTCCTAAAGCTGTACCTATGAAATTTGTATTCATTAAATAAAAGCTTTCTTTAAAAAAAACCAAACAAACAGCTGAGACTTGAACCCAGGCACTCTGATATAGGATGCGGGCATCTTCGCTGATCTTAACCCCTAGGGCAGGCTTCCCCAAGATCCCTTTTTAAGTGCACCCAGCCTGGGCTTCACCAGCCATTTTGTTTGCTTATTCCTAGTATGATGCTGACTATTCTGATTTTTTTCCCGCCTTCTTAATAACAATGATTCTGATAATGCAGTAAATGCTTGCTTTGTGTCAAACTTTAATCCTCAGAGTCGCCCTGCTGGCACAGTTCTTACTGCCCCCTTGTTGATGAGGGTCACCCACATGCATGGCAGGGACCCAAGCACTGGGCCATCTTTTGCTGCTTTCCCAGGTTTATTAGCAGGGAGCTGGATCAGCACAGCAGCTGGGACGCCGGCCTGTGCTGCGATACGGGATGCTGGAGTTGGCAAGCTGAAGCTTCACCTGCTACACCAACGCCATCCCCACATGTTGTGGTTTTAGCTCGAGCCCTTCCTCCCCCTCTCTTCCCTTGTGGGGAGCAATCCGGACTGGACTGAGTTACTGGAATTAAGACTTATTCTATGCATCTGCTCTCCCACAATATGGCGCTGGGAGAGAAGTAAACAGCTTCCGCACAGCTGCCTCCAGTTCAACTAATAAACAGCAGGACCTGCTCCTGATTGGAGGAGAGCAGCGTACTCGGCGTGTGGGCAGCCGAGTTAGGATTGGCGGAGGAGGACTATAAAGGAGGAGAGAGACGGCATGCACCAGGAACATCTAAGGGGAACATCTAGCTGAAGGAACACCTGTGCAGCCCCCGAGAGAGCCGGCCGGCGGTGTGCCACTCCCCTGCGGAAGTGGGGAATGTGGCCAGGGGGAACTGCCCTTCCACGGAGGTGGAAGGGATAGTAGCCAACCCGGGAAGAACCAGCAGCAAACCCGGGGAGGGCCGAGCAGACGAAAGAACAGCGCAGGGTCCTGTGTCGTTCCTCCACGAAGAGGGGGAGCGACATTCCCTCCCCACCCCTGCTGGTTTGGCGATGGTGTTGGGTGTGTGCTGACTGGGAGAAGGAGAAACCCTGCTTTCTCTGTGGGTATGCGAAGCCTTTCTGCTGGCTGCCCCAGTTCAGTTCTAGTGCATTTGCAGGTGGAAGGGTGCCCCCTGGTGGTTGGATTCAGTGATGCTACCAGTGTAGGATTGTTGCCTCTGGGTCCCCGTTGGCAACTTGGTCCCCAGCCGTGTGTGACATTTCTCTGCAGGAGTGTGTTCTAAGATTCATGCAGTAGACTTACAGTCTGTTGGAACACAGTGCATTCACTTTAAAGGCTTTCATACATGTAAGAGCATTCGTATCATTGAGCCCTCTTTACCTAACTCATTTCTTTTCTGGAAAATAGTGGAGGATCAGTCATTTAGAATACGCTGTAAATATAATTGCTTTCTAGTAGGCCTCCATATTGGTTGGGGTTAATGCCTTTTTTAACTAAATATTTTGGCAACTCCCCACTCAGTAATGATTTTGAAATGCAGAGGAAAAACGACAAATGATTACTTATTTGTGGTAAATGATTTCGTTTCAGAAAATTAACTTTTAGGATATCACTGTT